TTCTTAATAGATACAAAATTTACGTAATGTGCTGGTCACATGCTCAAATTGCCATCAATTTCCGATCAAATGGTGACTGGTGCGCACCATCTACCATCAAATTTCTGCGGCCTGCAAAAATTTGATGGAGGATGATGGAGCTGTGGGGCTCATCCTTCATCTGATTTCCACACGACCATGCTTATTTCATGCTTATTTCAATCAACACGCTGTTTTAATTAATTTTACTCATCAATCTAGATAACTATCGACCGCCATCTTGGTCATCATTTTGATCGGAATTTGACGGGAATTTGATCGTGTAACCAAGCCATAGGATTCGACAAATTGGAGCGTTTTCTGTGCCATTATTTTCATAAAATACTTCCTCTGAGCACTGATACCGATACCTCAATTTTAAGATATTTCAATTCTTCGTCAGGAAAGTTCCGTTTGCCTTGTGGGATCTCATACTACGAATTATTAGTTTTATACTATACAAGTTAATGTTACTATTACTATTACTATTTATATCATACAACTATCGTTGAATTCACTTATTATTGGAAATAAACTCGACCATATCTTGTCTGTGAAGCCAACTTTTTCCCGAGGACGGGGGATCTATTTTTAAGGCGCTCAGACAAAACACCCAATCTTTGAACAGAAATGCAGGATCTCAACACCAGCTCGATAACTACTAGGCCGGTCGAAAACCTGTCAAAAGTCACAAATAAATGATGCAAGGACCCGAGAGCAACTACCGAAAATTAGTCAGATTTTATCGGCCGTTCGTCGCCTCAAATGAGGTTGTAAGAAACTTAATAGTTGTAAAAAACGGTCGGGGGAGGAGGTAAAAACTCGGTTGACATGCCCAAAAAAACCACTCCATTTTTTCCCCGTAGCTCATCCGCAGTTCAAGGTCGAGCCAATACGAGGCAGATTCCGCCCAGATGTAGATAATCATAAACGACGTCTCGGGCCTATGTTGTCTTTTTTTAGTTTTTTTTTGTTTTGCTTATTTGCCACATTAAATTAGTACAAAGAAGACGTTTTCATACAACAAATGAAAGAGGAGATGAAGGCCTATGCTGTCTCGTTAAAAGTTTTCGATAGTTTATACGACTTACAAAATGCAGGTACCGCACTTTTAATGACGATGGACCACTAGACACGGTACGAATTTAAGTTTCCTGATGTATTTTTCCTCTTCAAAGTCTCACGGAGAACACGATTCGCCGGATGAAAATCACCAAAAAATTAACGTTTTTAATTAGTGCAGGTTCCAAAAAATTTAAATTTTCACCAAAAAAAGAGGAAAAAAGAGTCCACACTCAAAAAAAGATATGACTCTGAGACCCATAAAAAATGGCTCGGAGATCCATAATTTCTAACCAAAGTGACTTACCGTCTACAGTATGGCTTTCTGAGCCATACTTAATTGGTCGTGAACCTATAAGCATGGCCCCACGAACTATATTTTATGGCTCCTTGATACATAAATCGGCCGGTAAGTCACTCTTCCCATACTTGTTTTTTGAGTGAGTGAAATCGTGCACTACATAGATTTTGGTAGACTCCTGAACAACGAGGAACAACTGTGTCGGAGTTCCTAGATTGAAAATGCTACATTTTTATACGACAGAGGCTTACGGTAAAGTTTAGTGTGCAATTAACTCAAGTTCTTACGTTATGGTTTTGAGAAACTTGAAAAACTTTTTCTTACCCGGGCGTTTAAGTCTCCACGGTATACGAGCTCGTATAGCAGCTCTATACGGAGTATAAGAGGACATAGAGTTAGGTACATTTTCTCTCGGAATTTCCTCAATGAATGATTTTCCTCCTTTTTAGAGAAACAATCTTTAAACCTTAGATAAACTTCTTCTTGCTTGTGTATTTAAGTCTCCTGGGTATATTACAGCTAATGTAGTCTATTTGAAAGTCGCACATTATTTTAAAATCTGAATTTCAGATCATATTTTTTTCACATTTATCGTCCGAATTTAAACTCTTAGAGTTGCTAATCAACATATGTTTAAAAATTCACTGAAAGTTGTTCTGTACATGAATTATTAAGCATTTTATGATTCCGAATTTGCAAGACATCTGGAAGCTCACATTGATTGATTTTTTTTCTCGTATGTGTTCATAACTTTAAATCAAGGATACGTTTCATCCTACTTTCTGCTCGATTCAATGAATGTATTACGATTAATTTCTTCATTAACTTGTCTGTTTGATAATTAATTATTATTCACTCATAATACATGATATACGTAAAGGAACGTCCATTCATTTCTTGCTTAGAGTAGCAGTTGATGTCGGTAAATCATAAAATGGATTCAGACATCATCAAATACGATTAATCAATCGCTCTTTGGTTACAAATCACGCCATTGATACTAACATAATTCGGCAAGTAAGGATTTATAATTAATCGAAATTAAGTTACTGCCAAAGTCATAAATTTTTTTTACTGTCTAATTTATTTTAAAATTTTGCAAAAAATACGATGGTGTTGCAGATTATTTCTAAAATCAATTTAAAAAAAAAAAAGGTCTTGAGGCTAAGTTCATGATCGAGGTGTAGTCCTGCTTTAAAATAGAGTATTTTTCTCTAGTTAAATTCTCTATACATACAGCCATGAGGTTGCACACAGTGGCCTGGTTGCCATAACTGTGATATAAAAATTACAAGCTTGAAACATAGAGTGGCGTCGTTATATGATCCCACTTAGAGGGAAATAAAGAGAACATTAGGATCTAAACGTTTCCGCAATTGAGTGCATGCTGAGATGGGATGAAAGAAAAAATTCCAGACGGTTATGCGGATTCTTGCGGTGCAGTTTGGTCAATGGTTTTCATACGGCTAATTTTGCATCAGCGCATAGCCATTAGGTACTTCTTAGAGGAGGGAATAATCTAATTAAAGGTTTTTGAAAAGCCCCCCTTTTCCTCAGGATCGTCTTTTGTACTGAGGGAGTGAGAACCAGGTATCTTCCAGAAAAAAGATCCAGATAAACGCATTTCTCATAGGGCCTATTCCATTGTTATCTCAATTTTGAAATAATTTCGAGGCTTAGAAGTTGATAATTAAAAAAAAAAAAAAGAGAGAGAAAAAACAAAAAGCTTAATCAGGGACCTCGTGACAATTCGTTGCCGTCTGGCCGAGGTATCAAGCGCCATGGGACGTTTAAAAATTTCCGCCGCCATTTTATTTTTTTTTTTCAAAAAATTTTTTGGTTGAACCTGTTTGAAAATTTCACTGAACTTCACCGGTAGCACCAAGGAAATTCAGTGACATTTTAGGACAGCGTCGTTGAGCAATTTCTTTGAAAAAAAAAATAAATAAAATGGTGGCAGAAATTTTTAAACGTCGCGTGACGCTTGTGATATTTCGGCCGTAAGGTGACGAATTTACGTAAAAATTTCTTACCCGGGCGTTTAAGTCTCCACGGTATATAACAGCTACGGAGTATAAGAGGACATAAAGTTAGGTACATTTTCTCTCGGTATTTCTTCAATGCATGATTTTCCTCTTTTTTAGAGAAACAACCTTTAAACCTTAGAGAAACTTCTTCTTGCTTGAGTGTTTAAGTCTCCTGGTTATACGTAAAAATGTCGGATTTCCGTCTCCGGCAACACTGGTTCAGGTTCTCAGAGCTCATGAACCATCGAGCAAAGAGCCAATCCCTCCTCTGAGAACCCGAGCACCGCGCGCGAGCAATAAAAAGAACTCATAGTCTAAGTTCAGTGCAAGTTCACGAGCAGTTTCTCAAGGTCCCGCGGGAAAAGTTCAAGAACCCAGCCTCAGGCGGCGGAGAGGATCTCAATCCAATGCATCTCAATGGCCAGGAGCGAGGCGTGAATGATCGAGTATCGATATTCCCCCACTAGAAGCTATGGTAAAGCATCGATTATTAAGGTACACCCTGTCTATCGATCTTTCTTCACAGGTTTAAATGACGGCGCGATCGATAGATCGCAAAGCTCGCCACGTCACTGTCGGATCGCGGGGTCGGGAATATTTCCCAACGCGGTCGGTATCGATGACCGCTGGCCGTGTCAAAATTTTGACTTCAGCGGAAATTTTAGAGCCCAAGTGCGGACCGGACAGTCACCTTTTGCCCTCTGAACCTTGACTTGTGTTTCGGGAGTGTTGAACTCAAAGTCCCAGCGCGTGTCATTCTTAATCGCGTAAGACATAGCAGGTATACTACGTGTTTGGAGCTAAAAGCTATCGGATTAAGATGTAATTCTATGGCCTTTATTTGTACCTAAGTCAGATTATCGATGGCCAAACTGCGAATCCACGTATCTCCGTTGCGGTTTCAAAATTTCCGATCCTATTTACCTTTTTTCGAGAGAAACAAGCCAACTTTGCAGCTTGAAATTTTCGAAGAATATTCGGCGCTAATCCAGAGGAAAAATCAAGGAAGTTTTCAAGAAGTTACAATGTGTTTAATAGAATCAATAGAAAAATAAAATCAAACAAAAAATAAAGTATTACAAACAATAGAATCGCCCCATGTTCCCTATATGCCTTCTTAATCTACCGCTTTGTCTATACACTGAAAAAAATTCTCGGCGTTTTTACCAAGGTCCGTTGGTACCTTTACCATCTCACTTTTTTTTACCAATTATTGGTAATTTTACAAAGACAGACTAGCAAGCTTACCTAAAAACCGGTATTTTTACTGTTTTTTTCAGGTAAGAATACCACTTTTATTGGTAATCGATTCCCGGTAACTTTGCCATTTTATCTCGGTAATTCTACCACAGTTGATAAAAAAGATTGGCGTTTTTACCAAGGTCCAGTAAAATTACCGAGAAAGTTCATTACCGATTCCATAAATGGTAATTTTACCGAGAAAAAACTGGGATCAAATAGAACCCTGAATTCTTGGTAATTTTACCCTTTTCTTCGTAAATACACCGAGATTTTTTTATCAGTGTTTCCTATTTGCCTTCTTAATCTACCGATTGGTCTATCGATTCCATTAGATAAAAGATGGAGTTTACCTTGAGTCGTTGATGGTTGGTGCGGAGGGAAGACGGAGCGGGAGTGCCCGAGCTCGTTATATGAGTTGCGTCTGAAAAATCGAGCGCAGCATAGTTTGCCACTGCCGAGCCAGCTTGATCCTCGATCCAAGAAGGATGCAACAAAAATGCGCCTAAAAACATACAAAAAAAAAATAAAAATACGTACAAAAATACATACTGTAAATGGACGTGATTCCTATTAAGTTAGAACAGCTGAAGAAGAGTACCTTTATAGACAGAGTATGGCCATTTCTGTTCCGGTTTTTCATTGGTCGCGTGAAAATAGGCTGACACGATGTTCTTAGGGCCGTAAATAAACAAACAAGATGGCCGTTATCAGCAAGCAAGATTGAGGTTATGCACATCTTACATCCTCCTGTGATAAAGGTGAAAGGCGATTTAACAATGCTTTCGTGTGTTTTTCGTAGATATGCTTGTTTAAATTGTTACTGCCGTGTAATTAAAATTTTCGTCAAATTTAACTTCTTATCGATGTTACGGTGAGCCGCCATCTTTTTTTTTTTATTTACGGCCGTAAGAGCATCATGAAGCCTAAAAACTCGTTGACCAATCAAAAAGCGGAACAGTTTTCCAGTAGTAAAAAGATACGAATGGCCATATTCTGTCTATAAAGGTACTCTAAGCTGAAGTACATCGAAAAACAAGTGTATACGTCGCACGGTGAATCGAGTCAATTTGAGAGTTCGGACAAAATTCGGAAACTTCATGAGCTTATGACTCCGTTTATACACAATTTTGAGGTTCTAAAAGTGATTCCATCGGTTTCCTTGTGAAATTTTCTTCTAGAGTTACCCCTTGAAATTTAAAATGGGGCGAAAGAAATATCAACATTTGCAGTTTTAGTAAAAAATTTCATGTCCGACCTCTCTCATTGTCTCGATCCACTGTGCGTCGCAGGGAAATAGAAAAATCAGGCATTTTGTCAAATGCCTACGCAGATAGGCAAACATTCTCACTTACATTGAAATTCTAATTCTTTTCTTATTTTAGACAGGATAATTCTTTAGGAACAATGGGAGGCGACACTCGCAGCATGTTGTGAAAACAAGCAGCAATCGCATTTTGTTCGAAGTTGTTTTGCGCTCTGGAGGTGGGGCTTATTTTTGCGCACAAAATTTGGAAGCTCCTGGTGTCCTGTAGCAACATTGTTGTACAGTGCACAACTGCAACGTGCTCAAAGCAAGTCGTTTTTGTGTTGCTCAAAAAAACAAAGCTGTTTTCTAACCTAAAATTGGACGGAGTAACACAGAAAGGAACCAAGCCACATTGGGATCGAACCGAGAAAAAGAGGCTTAAAGTTTGGCTCCTGCATAAGACTCAATGTAAAAGTTAAACTTCAAGTTTAATTTCTGCAAAATTTGGTCCAACAAAAACTTTGAATTTTTGGCGGTAGATAGAAGAGCAGTGGTTGAGTTCAAAACCACTCATAACTCAATTTTTTCCCAAATGTGGGTTGGTTCCTTTCTGCTTAACTCAGTCCAATTGAAAGTTGCTCAAAATCGCGAGAAGAAGAAAAAAAAAGAAAGAAAAAAACGGACACATTTTGTTGTTTCGAACAAAACTCGTCTCTACTCTACGTCACTTGCTACACCGTCTTTCTTTATCTAAACCCCCCCCCATTTCTCCTTCTCATTTCTCCTTCACATTAATCACAAACTTCTGTCTCTATGACCACCAACTTGGAGCCTCCCCCGCAAGGAGAGCCTCCGCCACCTCCACACCACCAATCTGTCAACAGTGACCGCGGACGGTGGACACGTAAATTAAGCAGGTTTCTATTCAACATTCACAAAGAGACTTTAACGCGCGATAAGGACTCTAGAGAGGAGAAAGTTCCCGCTCAACACAACGAATCTTGGACGGGACTTTAAAGTGGAGGTTGAATAAGACTCCTCAACTGTCCGGCGACGTGCTCATAGAGATGGATATTATTTCTCTCCCCTCCCCCCCCTTTCGCCCTGCCTATCTCTGCGCAGCAATTAAACTATAACAGCCACAAAAGAGCGCCCCGCCCCACTGTGGATCGAGTCAATAGGAGAAGTCGGAAAAAATTTGGAAACTTTAAACGCTTATAACTCCGTTTAGACAAAACTTTGAGGTTCTGTATGGGGCTCCATTGGTTTCCTCGTGAAATTGTCTTCAATGGAGATGTTGCATGTGTGAGGGATTTGCGATTTGACTGTTGTTTCTTATGTAAAAGTTCCCAAGAAACACGATGGTGCCACTGGTTTTCTCTGAAATCATCTCCCAAGCTCAAAAAAAGCTCTCAAGTTGAGGCCAAAATGGAGGGGACATCCCACGCTATCCTGAGAGTCCTCCTCTACATCAAAACAAACTCTCCATGCAAAGATAGGGAGCAAATACATTGACAGGGCTGCCACTTCATTTGGGGGACTCCAAAACTGAAAATACGGCAACACTGCTAAAGTATTTGCTCCCTATCTTCGCATGGAGAGTTTGTCTTGATGTAGAGGTGGACTCTCAGGATAGCGTGGGATATCCCCTCCATTTTGGTCTCAACTTGAGAGCTTTTTTTGAGCTTGGGAGATGATTTCAGAGAAAACCAATGGGACCATCGTGTATCTTGCGAACTTTTACATAAGAATTAACAGTCAAATCGCAAATCCCTCACACATGCAACATCTCCATTAGCACCCCTTGAAATTCAAAATGTAACGAGATAAACATCAAAACTTGCAGTTTTAGCCAAAAATGATATGCCTGACCTCTCAGATTGATTCGGTCCATTGTGCGCCAGTTTTCCACTCATTTACATGGGCACATACAGCCGTGCTAAAGAAGACCGCCGCTTGAGTCATCAGACGTTACCAAATTTCCTTCAACAAATCACGAATTTTCAGGAAAATTTAGGAATATTTCCGTCCGTAATTTGATCCGGAAAGTCCGAAAATCGCGAGGGAAAATATTCATAACTTTCCTCAAGATTAAACGTTTTCTGAGAGGAAATTTGGCAACATTCGAATGCTCATGCAGCGTTCTCATTGGACACGGCACCGCACCGGGCTTCTTGTTTCGGGTGGACCGCAAAGGATCGCGTATCTCGCGCAGGGAAATCTACGTGCTTATGCGGTTTTTGCTCGGCACGATGGAATGGTTTAATTGCACGTCGGAACGCGACAAAGCGGGATTCGCCGAATTGGGGAGACACGCGCGAAACCGTATTCCCCGCGCGAATTCCGACTTTTCGACCGTTTCGGTGCACGCTTGTCTAATTGATGAACGCGGAACTGTTTCCATGCATGCACTGGATCTGTAATCGAGGGGTATAATAGGGGTGTTATAGGAGGCTGCAACCAGGCCCGCCACATTCTATCTCGGGCTCTGCCCGGAGAAAAAACTAGGTGAGCGAGAAAGTAAAAAAAACCTCGAGCGTGGGACCCGAAGTTTAGGTCATATGGATCTCTGAAGTTTTCAGATTGAGCATCTGAACACTTAAGGTCTAGCTGTCGAGGTTCAGATCACACATCTGAAACTTCAGTTCTTACATCTGAAGTACTTCAGATGTGAGAACCGAAGATTTTCGGATGCGAGAACCGAAGTTCTTCGGATGTGAAAACTGAAGTACTTCAGACGTAAGAACTGAAGTTTCAGATGTGGGATCCAAACCTCAGCAGCTGGACCTTAAGTGTTCGAATGCTCAAGCCGAAAACTTCAAAGATCCATATGACCTAAACTTAGGGTCCCACGCACGAAGTTTTTTTCTCCGTGTGGTACCAACTATGAGGGCCGGGCCCCAAAACTGGCANGCCAATGAAAAATGACGAGAATTTCAAACTTAGCAGAAAATTGAACTGACAATAAGCGGGAAATGTTGAATCATGGTCTGTTAGTAGGGTAAGTGAATCGAAGGTGTGCTCCTTTGCATCGGACTATCCAAAAGCGACGAAACTCTCCATTCCGTTTCGTTGCAGACTTGGCATGAAGTTTGAAATAAATGCCGATTTTTTTCATTCGATTCTTATTGGTCCAATCGCTCCCGGCCAGAGGGAGACCAGACAAATGAGAGTCGGGTATGAACATCTTTTCATCTTTTTTGGTCGTTCTTTGTCGATGCGAGCCTAGAAGAGCGCGAAGCGCCTTCTGGGGATTGGGCAGCGTGGCGGCCAGGGGGTATAGCCCCCTGGTATATCATATGATTGACGTGGTTATCGGTATCGATTATTTCCATAAGTCTCACGATTCGGTACCATGTGATAATTTTGGTCCCATTTCCTTCAAGTGCCCCTATATTCTAAAAATTAATTGGAGGAACAGTTTTATGCATTTAACCTGAAAGCTCTCATCTCTCGTAATTTCCTCGAAGGTTACACGAAGCGCTTAAATCCTTAAACCCTCGCTAATGAGACAAAACGGCACATTAAACCGATTTTCAAACATAAATAAATTTCAAAGTCTCGAGCGCCACACAAATTATTGCTTGTTCGCGCTATAAAATACCATAATTAAAATTGCTTTAACAAGAAGCGCGGCTGTGGATCCACTCACAATTGAGGCCAAACAAGGAAACAGCCTCTTAAATAAAGTCTAGAATTTGCCTATCGCCGAAAGTTCATCAGCCAAGCGCACGGGAGGTGAACGTCAGCAAGTCCTTTGCGTGCTGAAGAACGCCGTACGAACTACGAGTATTGGAATGTTGCCAAACTTCTACCGATAAAATATTCATTTCCGAGACAACTTACGGATATCGTTCCTCCGAATTTTCCAGGCGCGCTAATTTGAATTGCGAACAAAATTCCATGAAAAATTCAAGTTGAAGACCTCACAAAATTTCTTGGAAATTCGTGTTTTATCAAAGATGATATGGCAACGTCAGACTGTCCATGCTCCGTTTTTTCAAGAACTAAGAGTATTAGAATGTTGTTAAACTTCTTCCGACACTGGAAAAAAACACACATTGAATCTAGAGTCCAAGCTCTTAAAAACATCGACAAGAAAAAATACTCTCGATTCAATCAGATTTAAGCTTAAATCAAGAACCAAGCCTCTTAATTTGAGCGGATTTCCTTTTGATTTAAGCTTAGATCTGATTGAATCAAGAGTCCTTTTTCTTGTCAATGTTTTCAAGAGTCTGGACTCTAGATCCAATGTG